GAAATAGTAATCATCTGCTTATGGAGATTCATATTTATTGAAATAGCATAGAGTATGGATGCCTCCTATTTGTGCACTTAGTTTCATTATTGAGTTGGTATGTTTTTCAAAATAATAAATATATTTTTTTATTATACGTACTTGCTTTTCCTCACATTCATTTCAAAATAAGGAACGGCAGCAAACCAGCACGCATCTATTTATCTATTTACCATCATTAGGTACGATGGAGTAATGGATAGTGGCTCGGCTTGAGGAATTAGAGAGCCGAGTTTGAATTCCAGTCAAATCCATTACATTCACTTATGTGCTAATACCCTTCTCCCCGCCAGCTATGGGTAAATAGCAGAACAGACCAGGTTCTATAGCCTTGGATGGCAAATGGTCTACCACAGAAAGAAATGGCAACCTACTGCTGGAAAAAGATCTTCCTCGTCAGTCATGTATCGAAAGATACATGATCGGCTAAGTGTGTATCATGAAAGGCACATAAGTGACTGACAATCAGATTATGTTTTATACAGACACACCCACATAACCTTTTCACCAATCAAGTAGTTGTCAAACATCTAATATATTTTTTTATAAAAAAAATGTTCGAATGAAGCGCAATGAATGTATAGTGTATATATGCATAAATATATGCTGTGTTATGTATATTTAAATTTTTTTAATAATGTTCAAATGTATTATGAATGTTTATTATTTTTCACACATATAATAGTTGGAATATAATATGCAATCTTTGTTTACATACGCGGATTGATATGAGAAGGTGTATCAAAAACAAATATAGAATTCAGAATTGCCTATTAAAAATACATTAAAAAACATAAAAACTTGCATAATTTTAATAAAATTTGAACTTGCGTTCCTCAAGAGTTCAAAGTGCAATATGCTCCGAAATTGTTTAGGAAATTATGCATTGTTTAAGATGTATCTTGTGAACACACATGAATATATACAAGATTAGAATTTTAGCATTATATAGATGGGGTTCTTTTAAATATATTTATTTGAGAATATATTTCATTTAAATAGAGGCGGAGTCATAAAAAGGATTTTAAATGGTTGCTCGTTTCGATTGATTCTTTTTTTTTTTTCTGTTCACCAGAGGTTAGCCGTCGCGATACACATGTCCATTTCAATTTTATTCAAATTGTGTCTGTAGTTTTACGTCTGTAGACGTCTGTTTTAATTAACTGATAAACCTGAAAATGTTACTAAAAATTTAAAATAAAATACTTTTCTCCGCAATATTAACAAAATCTACAAATATTTCTACAATATTAAAAAAAATATTTTACGATTTTTTTTTTAAATTGTTAAATAATTTAATTTATAACCGAATAATTTTAGATTTTTTTTTAGGGATTATAAAATTAACTGGATTTTTCTCGGCCTCCCCCTTTTTTTCCCTTCTCATTTTACTTGTGTCATTTTTATCTGAATTCACACTTTGCGACTATAAATATTTTCAGTCTTTGACTTAAATTTATTGTCATAACTAATAAACTGGGCATTTACTTCGTGGTCAGCTTTATGTTGTTAAGTTTTAGATACTAATAAATAGACACCAATAAATAGATACCATAAATAGATATAAGTAGATACCAATAAATAGATACCAACAAATAGATATATAAATAAGTAGATGCCAATAAATAGATACCAATAAATAGATATAAATAAGTAGATACCAATAAATAGATACCAGTAAGTAGATACCAATAAATAGATACCAATAAATAGATATAAATAAGTAGATACCAATTAATAGATACCAATAGATACCAATAAGTAGATACCAATAAATAGATACAAATAAATAGACATAAATAAGTAGATATCAATAGATACCAATAGATACCAATAAGTAGATACCAATAAATAGATACAAATAAATAGACATAAATAAGTAGATATCAATAGATACCAATAGATACCAATAAGTAGATACCAATAAATAAATATAAATAAGTATATACCAATAAATAGATACCAATAAGTAGATATGACTAGACAGACATAGATATGATTAGTATGTATATATTGAGATAGACATGAATAGACTGATATCAATAGGAATTAATTATGTGTAAAATAATTATCAACAAAATACTAAGATAAGTACCCTCACAGAAAAATCGATACCTATGTTTAAAATGAATGTTTAATAATGAAATTTTTTTTTGACGTTTTTATTTTAGTTTTAATTTCAAGCTAATAGATTAAATTTAATATTTCCAATAAGCAAAAAGTTTTGCTGTATTTCAAAACGAATTTAAATTGATTGGAAGGAGTTTCTGTTTGAAAATTGCTAATCACTGATTTTAGCACCATTTTTAGCCATCTTTCATCGCAATGTAATTCTCTTTATTTAAAATATTTCACAAATAAAATATACTTTACTGAAACTTTATTTGAGGAATATTAGCTGATCAAAAGTTTAATTAATCTGATTTGAAATAAATATTACTTTATGTTTAATCTCTTTAGCCCTGTGTTCCTGGACAATTTTAATCCTTCTACCTGAGCTCCTGAGTCAAAATTCACAAATAATTGGTATGTAATGTTTCACAGTAGATATAAAAATAGTTACAAGTATCTACCCACCGTACAGCCGGTGGCTGGGCATTGTCATTTTTGTCTACCACTGTTCAACCGTATAAATATAATAATCAAAGAGATAGTCTGATGGCAAGTAAGATATAGATATGTGTAGCTTTCTTTACTTTTCTTTTTTCTTGTCTCCGGCTTTATGTTGTCATTGACCAGCCCACGGTAGGGATTGACCTGACTGAGTGAGATGGAAATACATTACTCTGATATCTTCTTTCACGCCCAATCAAATTTAAGAGTGGCAGCAAGGTCTCATCATTTTACTGTTCAAATAGCTACATGTAACCGTAAGTTCTATGCAAGTGGTTTCTTCTATAGCACTCCTCGCTTGTTGAACTCTCTTTCGGACTTTTGGTTTCCAGTCAATTGTGATCTTCAAAAGGGTAAATGCCAAGTCGTTCTCTTCCGTCTTCTTAATTTCTCTTTTATTCTCTTCTCTGCTTACTAATGATTTTATCATATTCTTCCCCACTTACTACCCACCTGCGTCTTAGTGGCTTTATTGCCTTACTTGGGATGAAATGATTAAAGAATGTGTGTGTGTGCCTTTGTGTGTATAGTATGGTGTAAGCACATATCAGTCAGTTATGCACAAAACAGACATAAACATACACATTATAGGAGAAGATCGGTTCATCTCTTGCCCGGTTCACACTACCCCGCGGTCTTTTGAACAGTAGAGGTTTATCCTTTGTTCCTTGTTTAGAGTTTCCGGTTCCGTATAAAGCCTGCTTCCACTCTGTTCTTCTAATGTCTCCGGTTAAATTCTGCAAAATATTAATTCAGTTATGTGCCATGCGTGATACGAGGCTGATTTTTCCCGCAGTAGGTTGCCATTCCTTTGCTATAGAATATATCAAAGAAATGGCAACTTATAGCCTACTGACAGACCGGGTTCTATAGCCTATAGAAGGCTATAAAACCCGGTCTGTCCTGCTATTTACCTATAGCTGGGGGAAGAAGAGGATTCATACCTTTCTCAGTAGTATTAGCACGTAAGTGAATGTAGTGGATTTGACTGCAATTCGAACTCGGCTCTCCGATTCCTGAATCCGAGCCTCTACCCACCGTATTAATTACTATTTACTTTTTCTCAGTTGCAGTAGATAGTCTCGCCTATTGTCTGGTTCGCAGTTCACCTCGTTTTTTTGAACAGGTGTAGAGGTTTCCTGTTTAGGATTGATCTTCCGGTTTCTCTTTCGCTCGCAGTAGACTTTTGTGTCTTAGTGATATTATCGCCTTGCTTGGGGTGAATTAATTTTTTAAAAAATACACGCAAAAAAAGAGTGACAGACAGAGGAACATCTAATAATTTTTTCTTCAAAACTTTGTTGCTGGTAATAATTTTTTACAAAGTATTTCTGGTATCAAAACTTATTTTTAAACTTTCATAGTGTATTGGCCCTAGTTTGGGGTTTAACTATTTGCCCATAGCTAGGAACCTAACAGGTGCTACCACCCCGGTTCAAGGTTGATCTGGGAACACCAGAAATTAAGATGTGGATCGACTCTCCTCAAAACCTCATGATCAGAGGCCTTGCTGTCGGACGTAGTTTATCGTCTCACCCAGGATGCGGATGTAGTTTATAGTCATACCCAGGACGGCAGCGGTTAGGGCTAAATCCCTGGCGCCTGAAGCGTCCCCAAAAGGGCAAACAACGTTTTTATTCCCACTCCTGTGCATTCGGGGGATTCCGACGTTTAATTCTCTTTGATTGTGCGTGCGGTTAAATATTGTTGCCCGTTATTTCCCGGCAGACCGAATACTCACGAGAGTCGGTCGCTGAGAATAAACGGGATTTTTTGTGGCGATAGAGTAGCGAGAGTTAAGTAACGTTTCACCTGTATGAAAGGGATTGTTTCCAACCCTACAACCCCGTTTGCAGAGACAAAACTTTGTGTTGTGGCCTTGTTAAGGCCAGAAATAAAAAACACAAGAGAGGAATTGAGTTAAACAAATAAATTAACAGTAATACAAACATATACAAACGAGAGTATTACAGCAAGAATGTTCGGTCCGACTGTCAGAGCTGACTGCTGGAAACTTCCCTCTCCAAAAGGCAGTACCTGCTCCTACTTATAGCTGGGAGAGTCCATGCGTGCGTGGGTAAATTACCATACTTTCTTAGCCTCTTGCTAGTCTATCTTTATTTTCATGGCAGAAGTTCAAATGAACTACATTCTTTAGTTCCACTAGTCCAGACATTCAAATCTAGGGCTCGCCAGTCCCCGTACAATGGGTCGACTCTTCCCCATTTCCACAGTAAAATCTTAACCTCATCAAATCTAGTCAAATATTATCTATCCTGCTAAAACAATAGTGGAATACAACACGCTGCACGAGAAATGGATCAAATAAGTATCAAACTCAAAACATTATGGAGACCAACAGCTGTGGTACGCGTAGCCGTGGTTCGCGTAGCCGTGGTACGATAGCAGAGCGAAAGCCTGAAGGTTCGATTTGTTTCCAAAAGAAAAAATTTCGTCTGCACGACTCTCCAGCGCGAGTTACTGGTCCTCATACGGACAGCTGTCTTTAGCGAGCATGTGGTTGTAGTCGTGGCCGTTGTACGCGTAGCCGTTGTACGCGTAGCCGATGTACGCGTAGCCGTGTTGCGCGTAGCCATGGCACGCGTAGCTGTGGTACGCGTAGCTGTGGTACACGAGCAGGGCGAAAGTCTGAAAGTTCGACATGATTCTTAGAGAAAAAAAAATTCCTCTGCACGAAACTTCAGCGCGATTTACTGGTCCTCGTACGGACGGCTGTCCTTACCAAGCACTTAATTTAGAAATTTATTGATTATATTAGTTTAATATATTGCTATAAATGAAATGCCGTAAATAAAGATCTTACAACACAGTGCAACGCTTTACGAGACGAACCCGTGAGAGATCACATTATGTTAAGTACCTAATATTGTAGTGTCTCACTCCAGGTGAGTCATAACACACTTTACACTCAGTATTTTTCAGAAAAACCAGGCGAAGAGTTGATCTGACATTACCTCCTTGCCAGAGATGCATATATACGATTTCACCCAATGGTATCCACATAGGTGTCGGTTTGTCTGCACCTGAAAAAAAAAAACTGTTGGACGGCGGGTAAATATATAAACACCGACCCGGAAGGCAGCCAGGCCAATCTCTCTCGCAGACGAGAATGTGAGGTCTACGTTTCAGATAAGGGTAACCCGGAGCAGCTCTCACACACTAGCCGACATTGAATGATGAAGCACAGATTTAAATTGAACGTAACTTTAAGAATAAGCTATTAACTCACGAGTTGACATTTGGTCGACACAATGATGACACTATAATTGCAATATAAGAAACCTTCTGAATAGACGAATTAACGGTTTGGACAAATACAGACACAACGGACAATTAAAACAAACATTTAAGTTGAAACTTGACTTTAACGTTGCGTGAAAAATGCTCAGCCCGTTTCTGCTATTAGGAGAGAACGTGTGCTGCATAACATATAAGTGTTGTAATGATAGTAAGTCTCCTTCAGCGATAAAAAAAAAATAGAAGGGTGAGTAGTCAGTGGTTATCTAGGAAGCTTTGTACCTAGTGTAGGGTTGGCGTCTTTGTTTGCGAAGTGCACCTGACACGACAAAGAGAAGACAAGCTGTCGATGACGTCATCCATGGATTTATGAAATGTCTTTATCTTTTCGTGATGTACGCTGGAATATTAAGAAAAAACACATATTTCTTTCAAGCTGAACCAAGAAATAAATTGCCAAGCGGATCTGATTATTTTCTTTACTATCTATCTATCTATCTATCTATCTATCTATCTATCTATCTATCTATCTTCTGTTGCTATCTATCTATTCATTTTATTTTCCTATCTATCTATCTATCTATCTATCTATCTATCTATCTGTTCCTAACTATATTCTGTTCCTATCTATCTATCTATCTATCTATCTATCTATCTATTCGTGTTCTTTTCCTATCTATCCATCTATCTTATGTTCCTATCTATCTATTCATATTCTGTTTCTATCTGTCTGTGTGTCTATTTATTCATGTTCTTCCCCCCCTCTCTTTAATATATATATATATATATATATATATATATATATATATATATATATATATAGACAACAGTTACTATTTTCTATAAATCAAGATTGTTTAAAACATGAAATCATTTGATTAAACATTCATGGAGAGTCTTTTCATAGACTACTTATTGACCAATGTTCACAGGCACAGATAGCGGTTTAGAAAGAATCTAAACAAGTCAATCTTTGTATTTTGTTTTAATCAAACATGTATTACTGAAGGGTCGTTGAGCATGTGTTTGTGTGTATGTCTCTTTTTGTGTGTATGTTTTTGTCTACGTAAGAGTTCTATGGCCTTAATTAGCCTTGATTATAAAATCATTTTACTGATTGCTATCGCATGTTCTTTTTCAATAATGTTCACCCTGTACAAGTCCTAAAAGCCACTCGAGGTAGAAGGTTGCATGTGAAGTGAAGGATGGGAGGAGTTATGTATTGACGAAATAAACAAAGGAACAAGCGGAATGACAATATAATCATACTTATTATAAAACCCAGGTTGTGTGTGTGTGTCTGTTCGTTTATATATTGGATCGGATTTCCTACACTTTTCAACCGATATCAACAAAACTTCAAAGGACTACGTAAAATTACCTTGCGGTGATTCTGACAGCGCCAAAAATTGGAAAAATACAATTGTTTTTGCACGAAATCAATTTGAAAACACGATTAAGAGGCATCGCTCTCGCGAGAATGAAATGGGGACAACTCATATCGAGGTATACTTACAAAACCCAGGTTGTTTATGTGTGTGTGTGTGTGTGTGTGTGTGTGTGTGTGTGTGTGTGTTCGTTTATATATGGGGATCGGATTTCCTACATTTTTCAACCGATTTCAACAAAACTTCACTTTTTTTAGGGCAGGTAGTGTTTCTTATTGTCTTGCACACTTTTTTCATTATTTTTACATTCAGAATGCTTTAAAAATTCCATTTACAAGACAATTGTTTATAATAAAATTCTATTCAATCAGTAGACTCATAACGATTGAAAACAATATTTTTGTTTGAATTTGGGTTTGACCAATTCGTAAAAAAAACAAAAAACAAAAAAAAAAAAACTAATTAAAACATGCGTGTCCGTCAACCTTAAACAATAATCTTTGTCAATTTTATTTTTCAGTCTTTATGATGGTCGATACTTGATCTATCTCTTACTGTTACATCCCCGGGCAACGCCGGGCTCTACTGCTAGTAGTTTATAAATCAACAGTTTTATTTATTCCTCTGCAAACGAACGATTTGAATTGCCGTAATTTGAGATGGAAAAGCACGAAAATATATATTCTGTTGAACTATCGTCACTGAAATGTTTCATTTAAATTTTGTTATTTACAAAGACGACCGACCATCTCTAAACTAATTCTTGAACACAGACTCGTCCATTCACTATCAGTCCTGAGTATGACGATAAACTACATCTTCTGCTCGGGAGATTAGAGGTTTTGGGGAACCTGGTACCACTTCTTAATCGCTAGGTAGTAGCACCCGTTAGGGTCTCAGCTATGGGCAAACAGTGAACCCTCAAACAAAAACAAAACGCTATGAAAGTATAAAAATACATTTATATATAAAAAAAAGTTACCAACAATACATTTTATCTGTAGTTGAAGACATACAACTGTGTTCAAAATATACTGAGTTGAAGACAAGATTATGTTCAAAATATTTAGATTTCGGCATTCAATAACCCATAGATATATTGATATGCTGCTAAACAAAATCAGCCAACCAACCATTTACTATGAGTAGGGTGGCTGCTCATCGGAACAATGGTCGCAAGTGGGTCTCAAGGCGTAGCGTTGAGTCGTACGCATTGCTGCACTACGGTATTCGTTAATGTTCGATTATTAATCCATGTCCTTCACGGGATTAAATCTGTTCTTCACTAATCTTTTATTCCAGTATGATTTTACAATATTATTAACCAGAAATTTCAGTTTATGCGAGCATTATAATAAATTTAATCTTAAAAATTATTATAAAATTTAAAATAAAATTTAAACCTTAAAAAATTATAATAAAATTTAAAATAAAATTAATTTAAATAAAATTAAATAAAATTTAAACTTTAAAATTATAGTAAAATTTAAAATAATATTATTTGAAATAAAATTAAATTAAATTTAAACTTAAAGAATTATAATAACATTTAAAATAAAATTATTTGAAATAAAGTAAATAAAATTTAAACTTTTTAAAATTACAATAAATTTAAACTTAATGATACATTAAAGTTTCTTTAAAATATCTCAGAGTCTCTTGATAAATAATTTGATTTAGGACAACTTTACGAATCGTATTTTGGAAGAATGTATGAAAGTTCAAAGATCTGTAATGAGAGCATCGAATGTTTACCAGGAAGAATCAACGGTCCATAAGATCCCAGAAGTTAAGCAATGTATTAAGAAACATGAAAATTTAATTAGAAATAAACAAAAAGGTAACTGAATTCCTATTTAATATCAATCTTCATATAAAATAGTGAATTCTGGATAATCCCAAAAGATTATTGAGAAGACTAGAGGCAGATCGTTTAATCTGCGAAGAAGTTTTAAGGAAAATGGAAACAAAATGTTATATTCAAATTCAAAAAGAGACAGATGAAATTTCTTGGAACCATAATGAGAAAAGAAGGCTTGGAGAATCTGACACTCAGTGGGAATATCAGATGTAAAAGTGACAGGAGATAGCAGCGGGCCACATATCTGACTAGTTTCTGTGAAGTGATGGTTGAACTCCGAGTGGAAAGGATGGCAAAAAGACAAATGTTACTAAGAGCTACAGGTGACAGGAAGTTGTGGAGAGCTATGATCTCTCACCTCTTGAAAGAACACGACAAAAAGAAGGCAAATTGATAAATGTCATTTTTTAAAGAAAAATTCTAACAGAAGCATTAGTATGACTTTTATTGTTTTATACTTTTCATCTGATGTCTAAAACTTTAAAAAAGTTTCCATATTTTTTATTAAATTGCGTAAATTTCTCTCGATAACATCTCTTGTTTGTTTGTTTCTTTGTTTGTTTAGCGGCATATCAACACCTTTATGGGCCATTTAATGCAGGTCATTTAATTATCTTGGGAGTATAATTTATTTTACAAAAATGTAATGTTGGTAATTTCTTTTACTATTTTTTACTATGAAAATGTAATGTTGGTATTTTTTTTTACTAATGAAAATGTATTATTGGTATTTTTTTTTACTATGAAAATGTATTATTGGTATTTTTTTTACTATGAAAATGTATTATTGGTATTTTTTTACTATGAAAATGTAATGTTGGTAATTTTTTCTTACTATGAAAATGTAAATGTAAATGTTGGTAATTTTACTTGCAACCGGATGTATTTTATCGTCAACCCTAGGGCAAGACAAAATCTCTGGGTACTTCAATGTGGTGCAATGGTTAACAAGCTCATCTTGTTCGATCAATGACAACTGAATAATAAGTTAGATTTGGTAAATGACCGGAAGTATAATGAATCGATAACGAATCACCATATGTACGCTGAGCGTATTTTAAATAAGTGTATGAAGATTAAGTTAATTCTGTCCAAAAGCTAGTGAAGACAATTGAAAAAAGACAAGAGATAGCAGGATTGGATAGATGAGATCATTGTCGAGTCTACTAGGGACTGACAAAACAGAAACATGATCCCCACCTACACCTGTATTATTTTTTAGGTTGTCCCTCACTTTCTTACAGTATAAGGTAGAAGTGCAATTGATATATATTTTAATAATCTTAGATTTCCCCACAAAAAATCCAACAAATGACTCAGGCTGTTAATTCCTGTTTGTCTCTTTTGTTTGATAGCTAATATTTTTATTACTTAAACGTCATTTTTTGCTGATACTCTTATCTGAGTAGACGTTTCGTTTATTTATTAAGCAGTATATTTATTTATTTTCCTCTACCGACCTGAATATTTGGGAAATCTTATTAAAAGATAAATACGCGCTCTCCAGCAGGATTCGAACCTGAAACCGCCATCTGATCTGACATAGATTAGACGTCTCGGCTACGAAATGAATATGACCGTTAAAGACAGTCTTTTCTCTAATTCTCGAAATAAGCAAATCTGCTAAGATTCGTATCCTAATGTAAACAAAGCAATTTCTAAAGATAGGGAATTTTTTATTTATTATTCCCACAGATTTTATTACTTAAACCTTATTTTTAGTGGACGACTAGCAGCATAGCCCGGAGTTGCCCGTGCTTGATTCAAAAATCGTACGAATCATACAGCAATCGCTATCACTTGACTTAAAACATTTTTGCCCTTCCTTGCCTTTAAAGGAGTGCTCTTTGCCGTGCTGATATTGCTACATGTCTTACTTCTTGCCTATCACACGCTGCGAATTTTTTCTAAGCTCAATACTAAACACTGTTACGAAAAAAGAACTAAACAAAATGAACACAAAACGATCAGCTTTAAAAAAAAAAAAGGACTCGTAACTGGAAAAACCGAATGAAAAAAGAATGTTAACAACAAATACTTTTTCACACGCAACCCAGTTCTGCGGAATCAGAATCATCGTTGAGTTTAAGCAAGCGAATGAGCCAATTGGAGTAAAGTGCCATGCAGATTTAAATTTTTCCCACTTGTGACGAATGCAGCTATCGATTTTTTTTTTTGCATGCTAGTTAACGTTCGTGTCAGTCAGCTGTTGGCTCACGCTGACCAATAGAATCTTCCTGCTTATTCGTGGCAGCCAGGTATAGGCTTTCACTCTGGCCAGTAGAAAATGGCCGCAAACTACATGAAAACTGCCGTAGAAGCATGAAAAAATCGATTATTTCCACTATCGATGCGAGGTGGGAAATGCAAAGTCGGTGTTGGCCTTCCCGCTAACTTGGAGCATGTGCATGTAAGTTTTGGTGCAAATCCGTCGAAAATTGCGGCCGTACATTCTCATGCACGCTGTCATGTAAAATAAATAGTAAATAATATACCGTCTATTTCCACGTATAAGGCGACCTTTAGATAAGACAATGTCAAAAAATATAACAAATTTTCATGAATTTATCCTATACCTGTAGTATACGACGACTGCTTATTGATTATATAAAGATGATGTTATTGGAAATATTATTTACTGTATCCTTAGAAATTCAAAATAAACGAAATAACAAAACCAATTCTATATCATGTTTTCCCTACACACGTCCCCTAAAAGGGAAACCATTGTTTTGTTTACGTTTTATCACGTGATCTCTTGCTTATACTGATTCTTCCTCTTCTTCCTCTTTTTTTCCTATATCTAAACAGCTACAAACAGCCTGGTGTACTAATGGCCATTTACTTATACTTCATCGACAATCACAAAATACCGTTAATAAAAGTAATATATAAGGTAGAAATGGTTTTATTACTTTTATTATCAGTTTATTTGATAATGTGAATCTTTTTATGTTGTTTGTTATCGAGGTTAACCCACCGACAAACATCACTCAGAATCAAAGGTTTCTTTTTTAGAATTGTAATATAAGAAGGTCTCCAATAAATAATTAATTTAATTAATTAAAACAATGAATCTATATAAAACTATGTTTTCTCTTCCGCTACAGTGAATTTAAACAAAGTCGAACTTGGTCAGTACCTAAATGGGTGACTGCTTACAAATACCAGGTGCTGTAAGCTTGTGTGTGCGGGTGGTGTAATGGACAATGTCTCGGAATTGTTAATTGGAGGGCCGAGCTCCAATTCCCGTTGGGTTCGTTATATTCACTTGCGTGCAAATATACTTGGAAATAGTATAAATTCGCCTCTTCTCCCCAGTAATTAATCAGTAAGACTTGTATCACTAAAACATTATTATCTCAAGAATTCTTACAATCTAAAATATTTTCTGGCTTTAAATAACTTGAAAAGGGTTGATAAGACGTAAAAAACAAATCAATCTACAGTGAAACAAAATCTATTAATTTCATTAGCTGAAATCTGTATTTAATGGAGAAAGGAAGCTTGGAGAATTAAACACTCACGAGAAGCACAATTGTCCGCTGCACATTGTCGCTATTTACGCACGTTAGCTAACACCATAAACCATAAATATAAATAAACATAAAGGACTGTGGCTGTAAGGCGAGAAGCTGTGGAGATCCATGTTCCTGAACAGATGTAGCAGAAAGAGAGAGATAGAGAATCTGAATTTATGTTAGGAATAATCGTATCCATGTTGATGGTGATTTCAGTTTTGAGTCATCGGGTACTTACGATCGCATGAGCAAGTTTACCTATTGTTAATCTCATCGCGCCGTACCCCGCAAGCTGTTACTATACGGTATCTCCACGCCTACACTGTATCAGCTACCAACATACTAACCCACCCACCTATCATTTCAAAACCCTAACCCTAGCCCAGACCCTTACCCTCCAATTCATCATCGTCACTGCTATCGCAGGCTCGATTCGCTTTAACGTCTTCTTCACCTGTCGCCGGTGACACACCTGCCAATATTTTTTTTTTTGAAATTTCTTACTTGAAAGTTTATTACAAAATCGACTCCCTGTTTCTTAGACCCTGCAGCAGATGTAAAAACAAGAACGCACTGTTGGGGTGAAGTGAATTTGGGGATCACAATAGCTCATGAACATAACAAATTATAAACATTTACGAGGGAACACAAAAGTGGCTGAAGTTGGAAATCTATGTTTTCATTGATTCCTTTAATTTTTCACCTGCTTTATCTTCCGTCCTGAAATATTTTTCATAAGTAATGCTTAATGTGATAAATTAACATATGAAAATAAAAGATTTAAATATACTTTAATATTATTAATATTAGCGTCACTTTGACGTGGTGTAATGGTTAACAAGCGTGTCTTACTAATCAATTACGATTGAGTGGTGAGATCGATGCCATCTGAGTGCTCTAAATTTTCGGCCTTGTGTCACATCTAAGTTACGTTTGGAAAATCTTATTGAGCATTTCAACGTCGTATAATGGTCAGCAAGTTTATATATCTAGATCAATTTTCATTGAATTGTGAGTTCGATCCTCACTGGGGGCCCACACGTTCGGCCTTGGGCCGCGACTTTTTTTTTTTTTTTTAACATTTTACCCCAAACAAGGCGGGAATACCACTAGTACGCAGGAGGTTACAAGGAAGAAAAATGAAAGCGAAAATTGAGAATACGGAGGATTCAGGAAAGGAGAAAAGATGAACGGTATTCAAGAAGATAGAAGATGGCGATTGACGTTGTATTTAAATTGTTTAAAATTGTAGTTACCAGGGAAGCAAGTAAACGGAAGGGATTTCCACAGGCGGTAAGTGCGAGAAAAGAAAATGTTGGATTAGAAGTGGCGGTTGCATTTAGCTATTTCAACAGTAAAAGAGTATGACCTAGTTACAAATCTAGGAGCAACGCTTAAATTCAAATAGACCGGGCAGCAGGGGGAAACGCTTCGTCAGAACAATTACCATGAAAATATTTGTAGAAAAGACAGAGGGAAGCCACGTCACGTCGGTGTGAAAGTGATTGAAATCGAGATGCCTAAGCAGGATCGATTATATTACAGATCCTTCTTTGGATTTTGTCAAGGACCTCGAGCTGTACAGCAGGAAACGGAAAAGTGTTCCACAGGTGAGAAGTGCAAGAAAAACCGTTGGGATAGATGTGGCGGCTGCATTTATCTATTTAAACAGTAAAAGGGTGGGACCTACATGCCAATCTAGTAGCAGGCTTTCGCTTAGAAAATCGCCATATTATCAGTATGACTGTTTTTCTGTATGTATTTATGCCGGATCTACTAGTACCATGTAACACACATAGTCGGATCATCAGCGACTAAACCGATTTCCCCATCAAGCTTTTTTTTTGTTGTTGTTGTTGAAGAGGGTAGCTAGATAAATTACAGGATTAAAAACAAGATCTATAAATAGGTGGATGGACATTCTTAAGGTGTCAACGACCATCGAGCACGCAACCAACCCCTGGGAATGGTGGACACTTTAGCTTCCATTAAGGCATTCATTTGGAAGAAGGATTACCCCACTTGCAGCACACGTACCATAGACTTGCTCTCTTTTTCTTTTGAAGATCAGCGAGTGTATTTCACACTGTGCACCGTTTTTCCTCGCTATAAAAAAATTCCACGCGCAAGTATTGCCCGATACTGAGATCTTTGTCTTGTTCAAAGGGGCACAACAATTTCAGTAAAGAGCAACTGTTTTTCGATTCAAATGTCAATGCTCTGGAACTGTTTCAGATTAACTGCAAGAGAAAACGCCTGGGGATCCTAAACATAATCATTTTCAAATCTATCAAAAATAAGCTTTTGGTGTAGTGCTTTCGTCCCCAAAGATATGTCTTTGAGAATAGGATATTCAGTCCGATTTTATAGAAATTACAAATTGCACAAATTGACTGAATGTTCAACATGATGTCCAGATCACTCTCAATGCCAAAATACGATGAATTTCCAAATTAAACGAGACTAAGGAATAGTAATCAGAACATTAAAAGGTTTTATTGGTAAAATCTTGATAGAACCTGTTAATTTTGATATTTCATATATTTTACCTTTTAACTTTCCATTTCTCAAACAAATTCTTATATTCTATTCTTATATTCTGATATACTAATATTTATATATTCTTATATTCTGATATACTAATATATTTTATATTCTTATATTCTTTAATACCGTTTAACATTTTTCAAATGAATTTTGGAGGTTTACTGGAACTACTTAAACAGACTAGTTCACTCGTAAAAGATAGCGATTTTAAAAACAATTATTACACATTCGGCTGGGACACTTATCAGAGTCGAAAAATATTTTTTTTTTTATCATTTTAGAATGGATATCCGGTTCATAATATTGATATAGTGTAAATCGATCCTTGTCTTTTAGAGAGTTATTAGATTTAACTGATATTTACGAATCTCAAGTTTAAAAATGTAGTCAATAAAATCTAGTCTACCCCACTGGCAACACCCAGTTCTTGATAATGACTGAGAAGATTGGTAATACTTGAAAAAAAAAAATAGAGCAAATCCTAAACTTCGCACATTCCACAATTTATCCACAATTTTGATCACGATGGATAGTGTTTCTCAGGCCTTTTAAGCAACGACACAACTAGCAGCGAATGAAAATATCACGGCATACTTAGCAAAATTTTTTAAAGGTATATATTTAAACGTTATGAAATAAAACAATAGATTTTTTAAAGAATACACATACAAATATGATCTTACTTTATTTCAATGTTTCTATTCAAATATTTGTGTAGCTTATTTAATGTATAACCTAAACCTCGTGTTTTTCACAATTTCTTCAAAGTTTGGTCGAATGTGCAATAAGTAGACTCTCATTTCTTCTTCAGTTGAACATAGTCTTTCTCGCTTCTTATTTTCGATGTTATTTCGATTTGAGAAGCCTAATTCACATAAATAAGAAGTAGAAAATTGCAATAAAACTGATAAATCCTTTTTAGATAATGTGAGATATTCCTTTTGTATTGAAATCCAAAATGAATCAATGGATGATAAGCAGACACTCATTTCTTCTTCATTTGAGCGTAGTCTTTCTCGCTTCTTATTTTCGATGTTATTTAGATTTGAGAAGCCTAATTCACATAAATAAGAAGAAAATTGCAATAAAACTGATAAATCCTTTTTAGCTAATGTGGGATATTCCTTTTGTATTGAAATCCAAAATGTATCAATGGATGATAAGCAGACCCTCATTTCTTCTTCAGTTGAGCGTAGTCTTTCTTGCTTCTTATTTTTGATGTTATTTAGGGTTGAGAAGCCTAATTCACATAAATAAGAAGTAGAAAATATGCCTTTATTTACAATTAACATACGACTGTATGATTGGCTTTATTGTCGTTGTAAAACTCGTGTTCTTATTGAAGTATTTCTAAACCTTTTTAAGCAACGGCCCATCTTGCAGCAAATGAAAATATCACGACGCACTTAAAAAATCTTTGAAGGGTATACATTTAAATATTATGAAATAAAACAATAGATTTTTTTTTAAATACACACACAAATATGAACTTCCTTTATTTTAGTGTTTCTATTCAACTATTTCTTCAGCTTATTTAGTAAAATATCAACGCTGTACCGTTAGTATTTCTATACAGACATCTATATATGGATGCCGTGACAATATTTCGCGGCACACTTAAAAGGAATGCTCGGCACACTAGCGTTCCACTTCACGGAGGTTAAGAATCACTGTCGATGGACTACACCTTATTCGAAAATTGAAAAAATGCAATAAAAGAATTAAGTAACCAGGCAAACATTGGTGGTTGAATTAAAAATACATGTTTAAATGAAATCTTGCTGCTTAAATATGCCTTTATATATTTGTGTATATGTGTGGATATCGGTTGAGGAAGACCTTTGACCTCACTTCCGCTGCATCAGAGGGTGAGCATAAATCGGAACTGGTGATAGCATAAACAGGAAATGGCTAAAATAAACAGGACGCACAGGTGTTCTGAGCCTTGAATAAACAGGGTGCAAAGGTGTTCTGAGCAGAAGGAGATGCGTCGCTTGCATGGACGCATGCCGGAAAAGGCGTGACCAAACGAAGTTACGTGGGCACATGGCCGGAAGTGGCATGGTCACAAGAAGTTGCATATGCAACATAGCGGAAGAAGGCGTAGCCACGTGAAGTTGTGTGGGTGTCCAAATGTTATAAAAACGGTCCAACTCTTGGCCTGGCAGAGAGGCTGGCTAGAGTTTCAGCGAAGATTTTGTCTCCGTCAATTCCTGTGTGCACAATCTTAACCTCTGTGATTCTCCCACATTCTACTCAATTGACGCAACTTGAATAATAAAGCTATTTATATATAAGTGTTCATCGCCTTATTTGAGTCCAGTGGCAATATGCAACATAAGTGTGTGCAGATAAAATGCCCAATTGATTATTACAAGATTGATTATTAGAATTGATTATTACCGAATTGATTATTACAGGATTAATTATTACTACTGGATTGATTATTACAAAATTGATTATAAGAATTGATTATTACTGAATTGATTATTACAGGATTGATTATTTCTGAATTGATTATTACTGAATTGATTGTTAGAATTGATTATTACCGAATTGATTATTACAAGATTGATTATTTCTGAATTGATTATTATTGAATTGATTATTACTGAATTGATTATTAGAATTGATTATTACCGAATTGATTATTATAGAAAAGAATAAAAATAGAAAAGAAAATGTTAAAAAGAAAAATAATTTAATCCAATGCAAATGCCTAATTTGAATTTCTTAAACAACTTTTGATCTCTTCTAAGCATATGTGTTAAAATATTGCCTCATGCTCATTTTATTTAAAAAGAAAAAAAAGCATTGCAAAAACAATTCTCCTACGCAAGACATTGTCCGCTGCACATTGTCGCTATTTACTCAGGTTATCTAACACCAACTCCACCCCGCTCCAACAATAACAGCAACA